TGCTTTCCTCGGGTGTAAGTTTCATTGCGAGTATCACAGGCTTCATATTTTTAAATTAAAATATTTGGCTAGGGATGTAGCTCAGTTGGCAGAGTGCATGTTTAGCAACTACAAAGCCCTGTTGACTCCCAGCATTACATAAAATGAGGTTTGATGGCACATGTGTATAATTCCAGCATTTGAAGGTGGAGCCTGGAGATTTAGAAGTTCATCAAGGTCCTCATTTATGTGCAGAGTCCTCAGCTAGAATCTGATACTTTTTAGGTGATTACAATTTTGAAATTATGTGTAAATAAGTATATTGATTTAGAATATGATCTCAATGGATCCCAGGTGTTTCTAGTGTGCAGTTCGTTTTTTCACTCTGTGTTTTTTGTTGTTGGTGTTTGAGGCATGGCAATTGCCTGCTGGCCTGGGATTGCCTGTGGAGACCAGGCTGGCCTTGGGCTTGTAGTTACCCTCTTCTCTTTGTCTTTGTGGTGATGGATCACAGTGTTACAGACTGCGGGTTTGCTTGGTTTTGTTTGGAATTTTTGTGACAGGATCATCTACATATCCTGGTCAAGCCTTAAACAACTGGCAGTCTCTTGCCTCAGTCTCCAGTATGCTGGATGATCGGGGTTCACCTCAGCCCTCAACTTTGAGAAGACTTGAACATATAGAAAGCCTGTGTGGAGGAGCAGGCTGGAGCCTGAGGAGGCACTGGTTTTTCTGTTGGGAATTTGTCAACACCATCTCGGTGCTCGTGGTGGCTATTTTGTGGAGCTTCTGTTCTCAGAAAGCAGGAATAAGGAGCCCCATTTCCCCTTTAAGAGTTGCTGACTGGAGGCTTGACATTGTATGGACGGGATGCAGGGGAGGCCAAACCTTTGGGGCTCCTGCTCTTGTTATCTGATGGCTTTCAAGATGGAATTTCAAGGCATTCCAAGGTTATCTTTCATCCTGCTGGAGAATGCCATGGGGGGAGCATTAGGGGAAACAAGACTTGTTGGAGGTCAAAGTCCTGAAATCCTGAGGAACATTTAGGCCCTATTTAAAAGGAAAATACAGTTTGGAGTTTGTTTCTTAGTAGTGGAAACCCAGGGTTCCATCCTAGCTCTGGGAAGTTAAACAGGTAGGTAGATAAGATAGGTTGGTCACTCTAGCATCTGCACTGGGCTCCATAATAAAATCTTATGGGGCAGCCTGGCAAGCTTCCGGAGTTTTCACAGTCTAAGTATAAACTGTGATTTATGGAACCAGTGTAGAGCAATTGAGTTATGTATCCCTGGCTCTCCTTTAGCCCAGTGCAGTTCGGGCTGGCCTTGACTCCTGCTCCCCTTGTTGGCTGAGTGCACCCGAGTAAGTGCAATTGGGAGTTGCCTCGTGGAGTGGTTTTTTGTTTGTTTGTTTGTTTGTTTGTTTTGTTTTCCTGTCCCCCCCCCCCAGTTTTTGTTTGCTTTATAACAAAATAAATGTGCTGTTTTCAAGATCAGTGTACTGTCACATGCCTGGGAGCCCAGCAATTGGAAGGTTACTAGGAATTTAAGGCTACCTTGGCTCAAAAATGGATCATGTCTCAAAAACATTAATATGTCCTATGATGAAGTGTTTTGAATATCAGTGTATGCAGTTACATGTGAGAGTAACTTTTATTTTATTTTATATTTTTAGTTTTTCGAGACAGGGCTTCCCTGTGTAACCTTAGCTGTCCTGGAATCACTTTGTAGACCAAGCTGGCCTTGAACCCCCAACAAGCCTCTGCCTCCCTGAGTAACTTTCATTCTCTTAATGTAACTGTCCTCTTGGAGGCTTATTGCCTCTGTCTGCTAACCTAGAAAAAGAAAACCCTCCACAGTTTCATAGGTACATAAAACACTCATGTTGGAGGATTGTATTCAAGTTCTAGACATCCATGATAACAGTAGGTCTTCTAGGACTGAATAAAATTCCCACTGGAGCTGGAGAGATGGCTCAGCAGTTACTCTTCCAGAGGACCCTGGTTCAATACCCAGCACCTACATGGCAGCTCACAGCTGTCTATAACTCCAGTTCCAGGGAATCTGACAGCCTCACTCAGATGTACATGCAAGCAAACCCCTCCCACTCCTACTGTGTATGAGTACCATCTTTTCCTGATTCCTCTGCTGAGCAGTGCCAGGCTGGCTCCTTATACCTTGGCAATGGTGACTAGAGCCACAGTAAACATGGAGGATGTGTGGGCATCTCTGTTGGTTTAGTTTTCCTTCCTTACTTTTATCACATTTAGCTATGTATTTGTGTCTTGACAAAGCCAGGCTCTCTCAGCAAGCAGCTCTACCTGACCCTCTTGACTGCACTAGGTTCTTTGGAAGGCATAGGTCATATAACTGGCTTATAATGGGAATGCAAAGGTCATATAACATGTTTTCTCCTTACTAATTTTATAGTGGCAAGAAGTTCCTTTGGTGTCAGCAGGGAAATGAACTCACTTGATGAAAGTCTTGAGGCATGCCTGGAAACTATATTGAGCCTCAGCTAGCTTGCGCTTTCAGGGTGGTCCTCCTGCCTCTGCCTTCAGAGTGCTAGGATTACCAATGTGGGTAACCACCCTTGGTGTAAAGGAGTTGGCAGGCTACATATCTGAGAGCTCAGGAGATGGCTGTGCACACCTATGATCCTGTAATCCTCAGGGAGGCAGAGGCGGGCAGATCTCTGTGAGTTTGAGGCGAGCCTGGTCTACAAACTGAGTTGAGGACAGCCAAGGCTACACAAAGAAACCCTGTCTTGGCGGGGGTGGGGTGGGGGGGGAGAGTCTGTAGTTAAGAATCAGGAGATTTCCAGGGTGACTCTAGTGAGCAGGAGCCACCAGATTTGATAGTCACTAGGCCTGATGTGCCAGCCACCAGGCACCAAAGAATAATAGAGTTTGTGCATGTGGAACACTCTGGCACTTGGGTAGGCAGCAGCCTTTCTGTGGTGTGTGTGTGTCTGTCTGCGTGTGGGAACGTGTATGTGAGTATCAGGGGCACTGTGGTAGGTGTAGGATCCGGCCTGAAGCTGGATTTACAGGCAGCTGTGAGCTGGGCACTGACCATAAACTCTCTGCAATAGCATTACCTGCTAACTACTGAGGCACCTTTTCAGCTCCTTTGGTGTTTGGTGTTTTGTTTTGTCCCTCACTCAACTGTTTCTTTGAGGGAAACAATGCTGCCTTAAAGCTTGCTTTAGGAAGGATTTAGCATTACCGCTGCTGTGGATATAGAGCCGTGGCAGAGGAACACCTGAACTGTATGTTCTCATTCCCCAAAAGAGAAATTCTGTGAGGTTAAATGTTAGGGTTTTTTTTAAGATCTGTTAAGTGTTATCTATTATAGGTATGAGTATTTTAAATGCACTCCATGCATGCCTGGTACCAGAAGAGGGAGGTGAAGTCCTTGGAATTAGAGTTACAGGTGGCTATAAACCACTGAGTCTTGAAAGAGAATAATGATAATGGGGGGGTAGGCCAGCAGCAGAGCCCTTGCCTAATGTGCACCTGGTCCCAACACCCTCAAGCTTACTGTTTTATTTATAAAAATCTCAAACACTGGGCTGTAGCATGATGCCCTTGCCCCAACCCCCATGCACACCACCATTCAGAGACAAGTGGGGAGGGGCCTGCTTTTTACATGCGACAGCTCAATTTTTCAACAGAATTTTAATAAAAACAAGCATCCAGCTTCGGCTCTGAGCACACACGCAACAGCTCACACTATCCTGTGCTTCCATTTCCAGGGGTTCAGCACTCTCCTGTACATGTGTGGTGAGCCTACACACATCTGGCCACATACATACATAAAATACATAAATATAAAATAAGCAAGTAAGGTTTTCAAAAGCCTTAATTCACATACATGCATGAATATAATATAGCAATTGCTAATTATAATGCGCAGTAATTTGGACATAATTACTGGTGTGAACATTTCCTAAAACCACTAAAGCTGAATGTGCATGCAGCACACATTGCATGACTCAGAACTTCCAATCTGCCCTGTGTGTACGAATCTTTGCCAAAGAGAATATGAGATTCATAGTCATGTATTTATAATATTCAACCCCTAAAAATAACCAAAATCTCTACTGGTGTGGACTCGAATGCTCAGTGAAATGAATGAACTACACTTACACATAGTCAGTGAGAGGAAGTCATATAAAACATGGTGCTAATCTCAAGAACAGTGGTTTGCAGGCTGAGCGATGACGATCTCATCGCCTGTGGAGATCTCATGTGCCTGTGATGTGGTTACGGGAAAAATTCAACATGCTGTGCACATAGGATCGTGCCACACCCCCACCCCTCGGAGTGCTGTGCATTGACCTCAGCCCCCACACATCCTCTGCAAGTGTTGCCTACTGAACAGCAGTATTATTTATTGGGGCTGGAGAGGTGTGTCAGCGGTTAAGGGCACTCACTGACTACTCTTCCAGAGGACCCGTGTTCACATCTCAGCACCCACATGACACCTCACAACTGTCTGTAACTCCAAGATCTAACACTCTTACATAGACATACGTGCAGGGAAAACTCCAATGCACATGAAATAAAGGTAAATAAAAATTTTAAAGTATATTGTGTATCAATTCATAGAGCGGTTGGGTCTCTCTTTGTAGCCTTGGCTGGGCTGCGTGGCACACAAGACTTAAGTTGGCCTTGAACTCAGAGGTTTATCTGCCTCTCTGCCTTTCTGGGATTACAGGTGTGAGCTACTATGCATAGTTTAAATGGGGGTGGGGAGGCTGAGGATTAGGTCCTGGACTTCACACATGCTATTAAAGCAGTATCTCTAGCCTCATTTAAGTGCTATTGAATTGCAGAATTCCAGCTGGCTGTAGTGCCCTCACCTGTAATCCAGTCTTTAAACAGAGTCCAGAGCATTGCAGCAAATTCCAAGCCAGTTTGGATACACAACATGATCCTATCAACAAAAAAGGGAAGAAAGTGTCTTATGTAGACATTTCACCAGGTAATGGGAATAATTTCTGTGCTTACTTTACAGACAGACTCTAACAACAAACTAGTAAATGGCCCCAAATCAGAATCCATGGAATACAGTACCTGTGGCCATGGGGAAGAAGAGCAGAGACTGGATTTGATCACATATCCCCTTGAAAATGTAAGGAAAAATGCAGAAAGCATGACGGGAGTCGAGGTGGAGAAGTGGACGCCAAACAAGAAATCCCACTTAGCGGGTCAAGTCAAGGGAAGCCTCAATGCAAATTTAACTGGGGTTGAAAATTCCCAACCCTCTGAAGATGACAAGCAACAAACCAAACTTTCTCCGACGTTTGCACAGACCATAAGAAACGGCATGAAAAATGTACACTGTTTACCCACAGACCCGAACCTTCCACTTGACAAACTGAATCTTGAAGAATTTACCAAGGCATTGGAAAAGAACTCCTCTAAATTGCTGACTGACCCCTCAGACCGCAACGATGTCATGAGCTCCGTCACTTCCGAGGGGAGCTGTGATCATGTCAAGGGGACAGGGAACATCTTGCTTTTCCAGAAGCCTGGCTCAAATTGCAGATCTGGTGCTGAATCCGCCACCTTTAATAATCATCCCAATACACACAGGGCTGGTGGTCAGCCTCAGACCCCTGAGAAGGTACTCAGAAAAGAACCCAAAGATGGCTCTCCAGTTCAGCCAAGTCTTTTATCCCTGATGAAAGACAGGAGGTTAACCTTGGAACAAGTGGTTGCCATAGAGGCCCTTACTCAGCTCTCAGAAGCTCCATCAGAGAATTCCTCCCCATCCAAGTCAGAGAAAGATGAAGAAACAGATCGGAGAACAGCTAGCCTGCTTAACAGTTGTAAGGCTATCCTCTATTCAGTGAGAAAAGACCTCCAAGACCCAAACTTACAAGGGAAGAGTCACCGTGACACTGTCTTCTTCAATGGCCAGAGCAGAGTGTTCAAGTCGCCTGATAGTTCAGCTTCTAACCGAGCACTTACAAAGTCACAAGGACATTCAAATCCACCCACAGCTGATAGAAAATGCACTGCTGGGGGTAAAGCTCCCCTCGGAAGTCCTAAGAATTCACATCCATTGCCGGCAGAAAGTCATAATCTAGAAAACTGCAGTCAGGTACTAAATAGCAATCAAAATTTGAGTTCCCACGATCTGTCCTGCCACGATGCTCCCTACAGTCAAATTGAAGAAGATGTCGCAGCACAATTAACCCAACTTGCATCCGTAATTAATTACAACCACATTAAGTCAGAGGTCAAGGATGCTGAAAGTACAGCAGAGAGCCTTGTTGCAAAGACTGTACAGCAGAAACATAGTCAGGAGAAAGGCATGGCACAGCAGAAGCCACCTTCAAGTACACAGAGCAAACCTAGGGTGCCATCAGCAAAGCCAAAGAAGAAGACCCAGAAAAAAACAAGACCAACCCCATACACAGACAAGCGGAAAAAGAAACCCCCAGTCCTCAGCCCTCAAGAAAATGATCAGAAGAAGCAAGAGCAGCTGGCCATCCAGTACAGTAAGATGCATGACATTTGGATGTCATCCAAATTTCAAAGGTTTGGCCAGTCTGGTCCACATGATGTTCCTGTTCTGTTGGGAACTATTCCTATCTTTGACCAAATATTAAAGCCAGTGGCTCATAATAACACCTCCTTCCAACACAATAAGTTATTTCCTCCTCTCAGTCAGATAAAATTTACAAGATGCCATGAGTTGGCAAAGGAGAAAGTGAAGGTTGAACCATCAGATTCTCCGCCAACATGCCAGTTCAAGTCGGAATCCAGCTGGCAGGCATGTGCGGAGCCAGCAGATAACTCTCAGGTACAGCCAACAGTGAATGTCAATCAGAAGGTGCAGCCTCTGCCCCAGTCCCCGAACCAGGGTGCTAATGTGACGGCTGGTGCTGCTCAGACACAGCTTCATCTAGGCGCTCGAGAGAACCTGGTGCATCAGATGCCACCGACGCTGCCTGGTACCTCTCCTGAGACACCCTTGCCAGATCCGGCGTCCATTCTCAGGAAAGGGAACGTGTTAAGCTCCAACGGAGTTACAGTTGTTACCGCAAAGCGGGAAGCTCAGACATGGAGCGACGGGCCGTTGGGTGATTCTACCGCGCACAGCGCACAGGCAGATTTCAATGAGAGTGTCATGAACTTCCTCAGCGAGCCTGCAAAAAATCTGCTAGCCGGAGTGAGTGACATGGAAGACCCAACCTGTCACTGTCTTGGTAAGCGCTCACTGGTGTGCATGTTTTCAGATTCAGCTTTTTTGGGGGTGGATGGGTGGGGCATCTTTGGCCCTTGTTAGCTTAGCTAAGATGCACCAAGTGTTCCTGCTTTTCTCTTGACATTTTATTTATTTCGCCCAGAAAAAAAAAAAATGGAAATTTCAACTCATAAACTGGGAAAAAGAAGCAAACTTTTTCAAGTGGAAAATACACTGAGTCCTCTCACGTGGTTCATTTTCATGACTAAGAATGAATTTCCTCAAAGCTTAATTAATGACATTTGCTTGTTGCTCTACCTACATTCAAAGAAATTTCAGCCCGAAAGAATTCCATTTGTTTACTGATTGATTTTTGTGAGGTGGAACGTGAGTGTAGCGGCACTCTCCTGTATTTCCAGCACTCAGGAGGTGGGGGAAGAATCATCTTTGGCTACCCTTCAAAAAGGGCCAGATGTGGTGGCCTTTAATCCTAGCACTTGGGAGGCAGAAGCAGGTGGACCTCTGAATTTGGGGCCAGCCTGGCTTACAGAGTGAGTTCAGGACAGCCAGAGCTCTGTTACACAGAGAAAACCTGTCTTGAAAAAAAAAATCACGTATTTACATTATGATTCATAACAGTAGCAATTACAGTTATAAAGTAGCGACTGAAACAATTCTATGGTTGGAGATCACCACGTGAGGAACTGTATTAAATCATCACAGCGTTAGAAAGGTTGAGAGTTACTAGGTGCTGTTTCTGTGCTTTTTTTAAAAAAATCACCTATCTATCTATCTATCTTGCATGCCTGCATGCTCTATCTTCATGTAAACCTGCATGCCAGAAGAGGGCATCAGACCCCAGTATAGATGACTGTGAGCCACCATGTGGTTGCTGGGAATTGAACTCAGAGTCTCTGGAAGAGCAGACAGTGCTCTTAACTACTGAGCCATCTCTCCATCCCCTGTTTTATGTTCTCAAACACAGAAAAACAAAAGCTCTGTCATCTGAGTGACATCGCATAGCTGAGGCGCTTGCTTTCAGGATAGTGTCAAATAGAGTAAGGCAGCTATGTTGACACATTAGACATAATGGGGACTGCCTTGCCATGTACAGAATCCCTGGCCCTTTCCCACTGGCTGGAAGCCATAGTGCATGTATATAACTATACTTGACAGAATCAAAAGTAACTGAAACTACTGCCAAGTGCCCATGGCCAGACTCACCCCGCTCTGAATCACTAATGAGACCAAGTCTTTTCCAGATACCTTGTTAGGAAAGGGGCTAGAGAGATGGCTCGGGCTTAAGAGCACTCAGTGGTCTTCCAGAAGACCCAGATTTAATTCCAAGCACCCCATGGAAGCTCACAACCTTCTCTATAACTTTAGTCCCATCACCTTTCAAGGCACCTGCACTCATGTGTACATAGACACCCACGGATGATTAAAATAAAGACTGGGGTCGCCCTGGGGTCATCCCTTGCTTTTTTTTTTTTTTTTTTAATTGCAAATATTCACTTGCTTGCTTTAATGCTCCTTCCCTTCTCCCCCCAGTACTAGCAATTCTACCTGCAGTCTTGGATGTGCTGGGGAAGCACTATGTATCTGAGCTACATCCTTAAACCAGAGTAGCAACTTATGTAAAAACAGCGTGGCCAAAAAATATGAAACCCAGAAAAGCTTCAGTGACAGGTGATCATAGAGGCCAAACTGAACATAGTGTTCCCAAATTTCACAAAAATTCAAAACAAATTAGACATACAGACAGGTACATACCTGGTGGGCATTTAAGGATAGCCAGGGCTACAGACTGGATCTATGTCTTGTTCCCAGAATGTCTCAGCCTCTTTTTTTAGAACATAGCACTGTTGTTGGTTTAATTTACAGAATTTAGGTCTTTAAACGCTTTTTTCAAGTGGACATTTGGTTGTGCATTTTAACAGGACGTTAATCATTGTATAAGGCTGGCTGGCCTGAACCCTAAAACACTCTTCCAGTTCCTCTTCCCAGGGCCTAGTGTTATAACTGTGTATCTCTAATCCGAGCTAGTGATATAACTGTGTATCTCCAATCCGAGCTAGTGACTTGCCTTTTGCAGTCAGGTCCCAAGTGTTTAAGGTCAGCTGTCTTGTAATGTAGTCCAGGCTTGTTATTGTCTCAGTGTCCCAAATTTGTCAATACCCACACTTGAACTTTCCTTTTTCACGTAAAAAGTTTCAGCGATACTAAAAGTTTCTGGCTATTGTTCTAAGAACTATTGTATTTACTATAAACTCACCTATAACTTATTGCCTATGTGCAGGTGTTAAAGTTGTATCTCTGTTGATAGTGCCAATAATTGCAACAAGTAACTTCCTTGTATACTTTTATTATAATAAAAAACATACTTGTGTTCATGTAGTAGGGTAAATTATATTATCAGAATCACTTTAATAGGCTACCGAAGCTGGGCTTTTCAAATTTTTTGCTCTTTGTTAGCAGTTATTATAGGAACCTACAAAGGCAGAAGAAGAAGTGTGTAATGCCAGCACTGTGGCAGGAGGGGCAGGCGCAGCAGGAGTTCAAGGCCATCCTTGGCTATTAGGGAGTTGAGGCTCTCCTGAGACCTCGTCTTAATAACCGTTAGTCACATTAATTTAAAAAGGTAGAAAAATAGAAGACGAAATATGACCCCCCTTAAATTTTTTTTCTGTTCTCTCCTTTGACTGGTAGAAGTATTAGGAGCCAGAAGATGGCAACAGGAGCTAGTCCAAATCCAGGACCTGTTGTCTCGTACTTTAAAAGTCAAAACTGATCACAAAAAAGAAAAAAACAAAAGAAAAAAAGCCCCTGTGCTACTTTGTAAAACTGGGTCTAATAATCTTATTCCTTCCACAGATCGAGGTACACAAAAAGACAAAGGCCCATATTATACACACCTTGGGGCAGGACCAAGTGTTGCTGCTGTCAGGGAGCTCATGGAGACTAGGTGAGGAGCTGTGCTTCCCTGCTAAAACTTCCTTCACTGTGGACCTGGGTCAATGCAGAGAAAAGGTCTTGGAGTGGTCATGAGGTGAATGGAGACGTTCAGGAGTGTGAGTTGGATGATGCTTAGGGCTCAGTGAGACATGCCTTCCTGAGTCCTTCCTCCCAGGAGCAGGGCACTGGAAACAGTGCCCTCACACAGCCATCAGGAACATGTGATTTTTCTGTTACTTTCCAGTGGTAGAAGCAGCTCAGTTGACCGCCACCAACACTTTAACTCTAACTTCCCAGTGTGCCCGAGACTTGTGTTGAGGCCAGGCTATTTTTAGAATGATCTTAAAGTAAATAGAAATGGGCAACAAAAGCAATGTGCCACATGCCAGCCAGTGTAAATTACATGTTTTTTTTAACTGGCGTTCATGTGTCTTCAGTGCTTTTAGATTTCAAAACGTGGGGGCTTTGAGTTCAGATTGGCATTAATTAGGCCCACCTCCCTCCTGTGTTCTATACTCAGGTATGGCCAAAAAGGAAAGGCAATCCGAATCGAGAAGATAGAGTACACGGGGAAAGAAGGCAAGAGCTCTCAGGGCTGCCCAGTCGCCAAGTGGGTGAGTACCGCTGGGAGACTTTGCTTGGTGCTTTGGAGAATGGATTTTGTCTCATGTGTTACATTCAGAGGTTTTGTCTGGGCAAAAATGGAGACTTGGGAAACTTGCCGTGTCCACAGGAAGCTAGGAAAGAAGCTGTGTGTCTTGATTAGGTTTTGGACTTCAGTGGCAGGATGTTGTCAGTTAAGAAAAAGAATAGCCCTTCCCCGTGGTCTCACGGAGTGCTTTTAATAATTTGGATCACACATTTGCTCTGGAGGTTTTGTTTATATAATTATTGAGTGTTTACATTTTTTCAGTTTATTTGCTTAAGAGAAAATATACATCAATAGATTTTATTGCCCATGAGACCCTACCTCCAAAAAAAAGGAGAAGTTTCCTTTCAAAATCAAGTTGTCGCACATCTTTACTCCAGTTTTGCTGTGCTTTGATAATGGTCTTGTCTTGCCTCCCTCATTTTGCATGAATCCTTCTAGAATATTCCCATTAAGATGAGACAGCTGGCTGAAGCTAGGCCTGGCACGGTGGTGCACCATTTCAGCCTGGAGTTCAGGTCATGCTGCGCGCTATGGCATGTGGGTTAGAAGAAGGGAGGATGTATTAAGTGAAGGAATGCCAAGGACACCCTACTGGTGCTAATTTAAAGTTTTATTTACTTGGGGAGCTAGAGTCTTGCTTAGTAGAGAGGAAGCAAGTACAAAGGTCTTTGGTTAAGGGGAAGGGAACCTAAAAAAGAGGGAGGGAGCAGCTACCATCCCGGAGACCACACGGTGGGTTACGAGAGCCAGCTCTCCCAGCTCGACCTCTGCGCACATAACACCACAACTAAAATAGTAGAGGGACTCAGCCGGATTCGGAAGGTGACGCCGGGCCTGGAGTGGTTTTGTCGCCGTAGTGAGCAGTTGTGTATTTTGTGTACTACTGCAGCCTTTGAAGCATCTTTCCTTGATACAGATAGATTGTCTGGTTTCTAAGTAGAGTTTTTAGGAATTAATTATTAATTCTTCTGCTACTGAACAGACATCACTTTTAAAACTTAAACTTAGAGCAGAAAGACTTATTTCAACTAGTTGTATGTGGTGGCAATTCATGTGCTGGAGAGCTCTGGCTGCCTCTAGCCTGGATCCCACCATGAATTTCCACCATGGGAGGGAGAGTGTGGCAGTCACTCTGAAGCATGCTTGCTGGATGCAGAAGTATTTTCCTGGCTTTTGTCGGAGAGCTTGTGCCTTGTCATTGGCAGGGTGTGAGAGGCCAGTCCAGCTTAGAATTAGATTGCTGTTGAGCCAGATCAGATTTTCATACGTGTTCCACAAGCTCTCTTACCAAGTCAGCCGTCTCTCCAGCCCTGAGGGTGGTTTATTACTATCATGGGATGTGATTGAGTTTGGTGTAGAGTAAGCCAGTTAAATCACCTTGCTTAGCTTCCTATACAGATACCTATATATATGCCTGCCTGTCTTCAAGTCTGTTTCGGGGCTGTACCACTGTGCATGTCCAAAAAAGGTGCCTCCTTACAAAATATGGAGCCTGTGATGTCTTTCTAATAACAATAGCCATCTTCCTTAGTCACTATTCTATTGCTGTGAAGAGACACTGTGACCATGGCAACTCATATATATTAAAACAAACAAACAAACAAAAACCACATTTAATTGTGGCTGGCTTACAATTTCAAAGGTTTAGTCCATTGTCATCGTGGCAGAGAACATGGCTGCATGGTGACAGGTGCTGTAGCAGCAGCTGAGAGTCCTGCATCCTGTTCTGTGGGCAGGGAGAGAGAGACTCTGGGCTTGTCACAGGCTTCTCGAACCTCCAAGCCCACCCCCAGTGACACACCTCCTCAGACGCCACATCTCCTAATGCTTTCAAATAATGCCACTCCCTGTTGTTCAAACATTAAAATGTGGGAGCCTCTTGGCAGCCATTCTTATTCAAACTACCACACCATTATATGAATCACTTAGTAAATTTAGTGCAACAGATCCTATTAGTAAAGCAGGAGTCACATAGTCAAAACACCCATGTGACTTTAATTTACCAAGGCTTACTAACATAAAGTTCAGTTTTAAAAAGTCATCTATTTGTTTATTAGAATGAGTGCAGCTCACATCATTTCTGTGTTCCACTGTACATGTGTGTGTGTGTGTGTGTGTGTGCGCACACTTACAGAGGCATTTCCTGGGTTACACTGAACACTCTTTGAGACAGAGGCTTTCATTGGCCTAGCACTGCCAGTGAGCTCCAGATATATTCCTTTCTCCAATTTCAGTGTTGGGACTACCGGTGATGTCACTCCTGTTTGTTTTTTTACATGGGTTCTAAGGACTTGAACCCAGGCCCTCAAACATTTCCACATTAGATAACCTAGTGTATCTAATAGCAAATATTACTTTTCTCAAATTTCATGGCTGGCTGGTGGTGGTACACAGGTGGTTTTTTTGTTTTTTGTTTTTTGGGGTTTTTTTTGTTTGTTTGTTTTTGGTTTGGTTTGGTTTTTCGAAATAGGGTTTCTTTTTGTAGCCTTGGCTGTCCTGGACTTGCTTTGAGACCAGGCTGGCCTCAAACTCACAGAGAACCACCTGCCTCTGCCCCCCTGAGCGCTGGAACCACAGGTGTGAGCCACCTTCGATCAGTTCAGGTGTGGTATACACCAGCACTCAGGAGGCAGAGACAGGTGAATCTCTTTAAGTTGGAGGCCAGCCTGGTCTACAGAGTGAGTTCCAGGACAGCCAGTGATACACAGAGGAACTGTCTCAAAACAAAACAAAAAAAACAACCAACCAAACTGAGCAGGGTGGCACATGCCTATAATACCAGCACTTGGGGAGGCAGAGGCAGGCAGATCTCTGTGAATTTGAGGCCATCCTGGTCTACAAAGCAAGTCCAAGACAGCCAAGGCTACACAGAGAAACCCTGTCTCAGAAAAACAAACAACACCCCCCCACCCACACACACACGAACACAAACAAAACCCAAACCAAGCCAACCAAACAAAGCAGGCTGAGCAGGCCAGTAAGCAGTGGCCTCTACTTCACTTTTTGCCTCTTGTTCTGCCTTTATTTCCTTCCCCTGCCTCTTTTGCTGCTGGCTTCTAACCTGAAAGCCAATTGGACCCATTTCCCCAACGTTTTTAGTCATGATCTTTATCAGAGCAAAGAAAACAAAATAATACATATGGTTACCGTCACAGGATTAGATGTACAGTCAGTGGAACAGAATTAATAGTTCATAGATAAGCCTTCAGTGACTTTTAAACAGGGTGCACGCCAACATGATCATGGAAAAATAGAGTCTTACCAGTCAGTGTTTCTGATATGGCCGGGTAACTGTATAAATTATTTCTTCAAAAGAACAGCTGTAGTGCAAATGTCCTAAGAATAAGTAAATCCACGTATGGTTGCTGACACTTGTAATCCTGTCAAAGAGGTACAAAAATTGGCAGTTCAGGGTCCATGTTGATTACCAGTCTCTCAAAGCAGACAAGCAAAAGATAAGCTCCATCAAAATTCAAAGGTTCTTTTTTTTTTTTTTTGCTACAGAGACCACTACTAATAGAGAAAAGAGAACTGACAGGAATGGGAGAAAATACTTACAAATCATGTCTTTCATAAAAGACTTCTATCATGTGCATAAAATTAAACTGAACTAAGCCTTTTCCCTTTGCCACATACAGTATCCAGATGGTGAAGTATGGCAGCTTCTCAGTGGCCTTAGTGTTCATGCACATGAAAGGCACAAGAAATTCCCCTCAACACTGGAAGGCAAGAACTAAACAGGAAAATAAGAGAAACAGGTCCAGGAATGTCACATCATCTGACACACTGTGTGACTATATGAATGAAGCTAGGGCTGGATAGGAAGCTCCGGGTTTGCGAGCTCTGGGTGTTCTTCCAGAGGACCACATCCAATTCCCAATACCGTGCGGTGGCTCGCAATTGTCTGTAACTCCAGTTCCAAGAGCCCTTTTTCGGGTGATGGGTGTACTGTATTCACATGGAGCAGACAAACACAGAGGCAAAAACACTCAGGCCTAAGAATGAACATTAATTTCTTTTTCTATGTTTTTTTGTGATCAACTCAGGCTATTTGTCTATACATTGTCTATACAGTCCAGGATATCTTCAAACCCTCTTGCCTGTGATGACCAGATACTATAATTATAGACACAGCCATAGGGAACAAATGTGTTTTGCGTTGGGCTTTGGCTTGGTTTAATTTTTTCATTTTGATGAACATATTTTATTTTTGTTAGTGTGTGTGTTTGTACATACATATATGCTAAAAAGGGAAACTTCAATCTATCATGGCTCCTTCCAACAGACCCACTGAGCTATCTTTTACCCTTCTTTCTAACTCTTAATTCATTCATTTGATGATTCTTTTTTCTTTCTTGTTTTGTTTTTTTTGTTTTGTTTAAGGCAGGGTTTGTCTGTGTAACCTAAGCTGTCTCGGGACTTTGTAGACCAGGCTGGCCTTGAACTCACAGCAGTTTGCCTTCCTCTGCCTCCCTGAGTGCCCAGCCTATTTGCTGTTTCAAAAAGCTTTATTTTTGCCAAGCACAGTGGTGCAAACCTGTAATCCCAGCACTTGGGGAAGCAGAAGCAGGTGGATCTCTGTGCATTCAAGGGCAGCATGATCTACAAAGTGAGTCCAGAATAGCCAGGGCCACACAGAGAAACCCTGCCTCGAAAAACAAACAAAGCTTTATTTTTACTTGTTCCAAGATTTGGAGGAGCTCCAGGGTGGTTACAAAACTGCCTAGTGGCTTTGAGAGGTTCAGGTGGAGGTCCTGCTGGCTAGTACAGAGCAGAGGAGGCAGGCCTCAAGTGCTTCACGGTAGCTTCTACTTAGATGAAATAATTATTTCGAATCTGGGAGGTCACAGCTGCTCCACAGTGTGTGACACTAACCGGAACTAGACTGTGCTGGCTGGTCCTAGGAGTCAAAGGCCGAGAAGATGGTCTGGGAGGTTGCTACTGGGGAGACTGTTAGCTAAA